CCAAACAGAAATTTTCTTAATCACAAAAAAGCTATATGCTTGAAAACTGTTTTAGTTTTTTGTAACTTTTCAGAAAAGATGTAGTATAAGGATTAAAAAAAAAAAAAAAAAAAAAATATATATATATATATATATATATATATATATATATATCCCGATAGACTAATGTACGTAAACTTTATAGCAACTTTAAGCGTATTAAATCGCGTATTAAAGCGTATTAAATTCAGCAATGTTGAATCCCTTATAATTGATCAGATTGCACTCGTGTTTACTACATAAAATGATAAAATAGAAATACGAAAAGAGATTATCAAAATTTTCCCCAAACAATATATTATAAATGTAATATAAAAACTAGTGCAACTTTCAGTAAATTTGTTGCTATATTAATATAACAAAAAGTTTATATTGTAAATATTGTATAATATAAATTTTATAATTAATAACAGTATACTTGCTTTATAAATATAATTAAAATAATTCTAGAGTTTCACTATAAATTGTTTTATGTGGTGACAATCATGAAAGTCTATCTGTATGTATATACGAAGAGAATTTTATAATAAATATTATTATAGGACTTTGTAATTGAAAGATAGATCAACATTCTGCAGTAATTCTCTACTCTTTTATTTCATATGTGTTACTTACATTTTAGGAACTGAAATGTATTATTAAAATACTTGCAATATCTCTAGTGAAATTCACTATATTCCTTAGCAAAGATTGACCACACTGAGTCTATTCCTGGACTACTAAAAACATAGTAAAATTGAAAAGAATTTATATGAAAGAAACAACTATAATATTCTCTCCGTGTGTATATATGTATATGCGTGCGTGCGTATTCAATATGGCAGATGTATTTAACCCGCTTTTACACATTATTATCGTAAACTATCGGGGACTCGTAAGAATTGTTATGTGAGAGTCACGGAGAAAGTGCTCGACTGTACGTGCGTCTGACGATGGGTCGCGAAGGGCGAGACGTTCGATCGTTCTACCTCGCGACAATTGTAGCTGTGTGCGAACGATTGGGCGGAAGGGAAGGGGGAAGGAAAGGTTTCATGAATTTGTAACGCGCGGCTTTTTATAGACGGCATTCGCGCCTGCATTTCGCAGTCGGTGGGTCAAGGTGAATGCGATTCTGAACGACGTCGGTGAACACGCAGGTATACAGGTCGCGCGGAGCTTCGAAACCTGCCATTTTCGACCTCAAATTCTCTCTTCGTTAACGTCTCTATATATAGGATTCCGCTTCAATCGCGATCACGTGGTGATATTTCTCAAAGGGGAGCCACGATCATTATTGAACTCGTTATAGACGTAGGAGAGAGAGAGAAAGAGTTTATAACGAGTTTATAACGAGATGTCTTAATAATTTTTCGATGACAAGTCGAGGAGATCCCTCTCTTTATTCGCGAGAACGAACGGCTCGAAAATAACCTCATTCATCTTGCATCCGCGATGAGGCATTCGAGATGAAGCTTTTCGCGAGGTATTAATATCAAGGGAATAAAAATAAAGGAAGAAATATATCTTTTTCGACACTTGCCACGAAATCAATTAGCGAACAATTTTTCACGACTGGAAGTTTCTTGACTTGGAAGTTTCTTGACGAAATTCATAACTCGATATCAAAACAGACTCGAATCGAGATATTTTTCAGCGTGACTTTTCACGTTAATGAAAGTGCTTCAACATTAGAGAACATTTTGTCCCACTGCTGTAAATAATTTCATTTCATTCCTCCTTTCTCTTAACTTTTTTCTTCTTTTCATCCCGCTCATTAGTAAATAACGAGACGAGTTTGTTTCGAGCAATGGGAAATTTACGCTCTCTGACCTTTTTTTCTATTTCCAATCTTTTCTAGCATGAAATCTTCGAGACGTCGCGCATGAGAGTATCGCGCTGGAGCGTTTTAATTAAAGAGCATCGAAGACTACCGGCGCCGGTGTTCGGGAGGAAAAAAGAGTCGATTCCTATCCCGCGTGCATAAAGTGCGATTTCCTGCGTGCGGCTATGCGGGCTGTCTGATAGAACGTGATCGAATCGGAAGGGAAAGGAAGTCACGGTCAGGGTGCATTCGAGACTGCTGGTAAATCAGGAGGTAAGTACAAGTGTGTGTACGAAGTTTTGAGAGGCTGTGTACGTGTATATGTACATGTATGTGTGTGTATGCGCGCGCGCCCACACATGCTGCAGTACCGTTCGCGTCTTGTATACAGTAAGCGCTGACGTCTCATCAAGTAGCGTGCGCGCACGAGTGATAGTATGAGTGAAACATTATCACGATATTGTTGTTGATATTTGTTGAATGGCGAACACGCGGGAATTTCAGCGCCAGCGCCAGCTTCGGTACTCGAAGCGCATTATTGCGACGTGTTATATGAATGTATGCACAGGAAATTCACGCTCGAGACAATGCCACTGTACGTTGTTAACTAATTTTTTAATACGTTAATCTCGTTCGAGCTGAAAATAAATCGAGTTATTGCGCAATATTTTTTTATAATTATTAAAAGGAGAGATACCTCCATAAAGAGAGAGAAAAAGAAAGAGAGAGAGAGAGAGAGAGAGAGAGAGAGAGAAATCTTGCATGCAGAATCAAAGCGGAAACATTCACATGTTAACAATCAAAGACGAAGATATCTGGTATAAATTACGTAGAATAATTTCACAAATTTCTTTCTTTTAGGGGTTGTCAAAAATAAACATTAAGTAAATAAAAAAAAATACCAGATATTTTTATAACCACCATCATAATTATAATTATATGTATCTAAGAATGCTAAAGAATATAGCACACATAAAACGAAAAGAAATCAGAAATGATGAATCCATTTTCAATCAATCTTTGATGCCATGCGTGTTAAGATCGCGTGATATCGAAAAACAAAAAACGTAATTAAAGTGAGGTAAAAGTTTTGGAAAAATTTGGCGGCTACCGCTATAAGCACATTACATGCCGACTGAAATCAAACGTCATCTCATTGTTCGCGTTCGCGCCAGGCACACATTAGATTAGGCTCGCGTGCAATTTAGGGCATGCAAACCCTTTGCTCCAACTTATCGTCGGACAAGAAGATCGAGCCGAGAGATAACGAGGAAAATGACGTGCCGGCAGTAGGCACGAAACACTATTTATGAGTCTTTAGTGCGTACTGATTGGCTCTAAAAAGGCCCACGGTGTCTAAACAGACGTTACTTGAGAGCGGGAGGCGTTCGCTATAAAGAATGAAAACTCCTCCGCTTCACTCGAGACCAGTGGATATACTCGGGAGGCTCGACTTCCTCCTTAGTGAAAGTTTTCACTAATGGGAGAAAATGAAATGTCCTTGGTGAAGGGAAATTTAATTATATTTAGCGTTTCAAGACATATTTATGAGATCCGCCGGAGTGAAATTCCGAGCGCGCGGACAATTTGATCTCGCGTTGCGCACTGATCGTGGCCTCATTGAAGCAGAAAGTTCATTAAACGCTTTATCGGAGAAATATATCTGTTACGAAAGATCTCGTCCCTTTAGGAAAGATTGCCCTGTAGGATGAAAGATGCATGAGTCTTTGCGTGGAATTCCCACTACGAGAAAATCGACACGGGATGTTTTCGATGAATATTTCATCGGAATCTTTATCAAGCAAAGCGAGGGCACTTTGTACACATCGTCTCTTATAATTACAAACCATTCTCTTCTCTTATTCGCGATGCGCGCAAACGAACAATTAAGTCGAGAACTGAATAACGTAATACCATGATTGCATTTGCGTTCGCATTTGCGTCTATGATTGTCTCTTCGACACTGATCCAATTGCTTTCTGATTGGTCAGGAGACAATCGTGGGCGCAAATGCGAACACAGCAGTCGCCAATTACCAGTGTGACAAGGGCATAACACTGCCGCCACACGAGATGTATTATCAACGTTCCTTTCGACGAGAAGAGTCGGAAAAAGAATCACTCGACAATTCGAGAAGAGAGCGACGGAAGTAGTAGGGAGAACGTAATTGCGAAGCACCTTGTGCGTACATATCGCGTACACAATACCCGCCGCACATGCGACACTTGCAGCGGCATTATTCGATCCCGCTAGACAGCGTGTCGTGTGCTGGTCCGTTTGAGCTTCGCAACAACGGCGACAATTGGCCGTTCCTTTGCGCGGCCACGCACCGTTCTTTACATATTCACAACTGCGTTGTGACCCGATAACGCCGAACGGCCTGTTTTCCCTCCAGCGCTTTTATCTGACACGCGAAAAAGCGTCTGCGCCTAATTACGGCCGAATTATCCCCGGATCGGCATCAACTAGCTGCCTCCGGTTGCCGGCGGTTCGCGTCGCTCGTTTCCGCAAAAAAGCAAGCGCGACCTCGAGGTGCGATAGAGCCGAGGATTTGCATAATAAGAAACTTTCAAACGAGCGCCCGCGGAGTGGTGAGGCGGAAAGAAATGAGATAAACTCGCGGAATGACTGAGGGACCTCTTCGATCCGCCGAATATTGATTTTCCCGTTGTTACGTGGCAGTTCGCGTGTAGCTTTCTCGTAAGCGCGATTTTGACGCGCAAATCTGGATCGCGAAAAGCGTGAACGGTATTAAAAGAGAAGAAGATTAAACGATTAATTTCGCCGGCACAAAATCGAAAGACACGTGTACTAATACCGTGATATAATAAAAAATATGTATAATTATGTATTAATAAGCTTTATCTCGCAAAGCGATTGCAGATAAGCTTCATAATTCGAGCAGTCTTTGTTGATCGACGCACTTTTCAAAAATACTTTATTATACGGCCATTACGGAGTAACTCGGCACGTACCGATTGGTTCGGCTCATGAATATGCACAGATATGATAAAACGATTTCTAGATACGTGGTGGACAATTAAACAAATTCATCGGTCCCTTGTGGGTGTGACCCGCCGTAAATACAATATTCAATATTCATGTCGACGATAAAATATTTATGAGACAGGTGTGTAAGTTCCCGTGATATATAATGTCGACCAAGACTCTGATCATTGATAACGATCATTTAGTAGCGTCGACGATGTGCTAAATTCTTCGTCTACATATTGAGAAATATGTGCTATTTGTGCACCGAAATAATTAGGGAAACCCATTCTTGTAAATGCTACATTCAAACAAATATAATCTTATTCTTAGAGGATCCTCTTTTATTCGAGCCGAAATTTTCTTATCTTTCTCGACCTTTCGACTTCAATAATATCCTATTTAACGCCTACTTTTGATATTCTGAAGCCTATATCTATCTTCTTCGATTCTATCTGACACCGAAAGATGAGATTCTATCTCATCACAGAAAGATACTCTTCAGAGCTCACAAGCGACATTGCGTGCGTTTTTCACGATTTAGAGGCTCCATGTAAGACTAGTTTCCATGTGTATTTAACATATCCTTCAGAGTAAATGTTAGAAAGTTCAGGTCAAAAGTGCTAAAATTTCAACTTGAGTATACACAGCCTCAAGAAAATTCGTACTCTAAAATGAAAAGCGCGATGCATGTTTCTAGTACAGAACTGTATAACATGCGAATCTATTCTTTCTTTGAAATTGCTCACGCAGTCTCCCTGCTATATTTACGTGTCTGTGTATGAGTTTTTTACAAGGCAACGCAGCGTATCCTCGCAGCGATACGTTCCATTATAATCCATACAATCCATTATCACGACAGTGTGTAATAATGATTTCCAATGCGACAACGTCATCTATCGCGGAGTATGATTTGTATAATAAAAGGCGCGTGTTTACAATACGATAAACATGATGACGTAACCGACACACGCGATATACACTAGGTATACGCGTGCGATTAGAAAAACATGTGCAAATTTCAACACGCTTTGCTCGACACGTCTGGCTGCTCATCGAACCACGAGAGCTATTTTCATGATAATAACATTTAAACTGGTGGCACACAGAAAAACTTAAGCAGTAAGAAAATTGACCAATCACAGTCATTGATTCTTCTTACGGCCCAAGAATCAACGACTGTGATTGGTCAATTTGCTTACTGCTTACGTCTTACTGCTTAAGTTTTTCCGTGTGCCACGGCTCTTAATGACATTTAATAACAAAACTCTTAATAACAAAAACGAAGTAACGAAAAAAGAGACAAAAAAAATGAAAAAAAAAAATCGATTATCGAAAGCGGTCCAACTCCGTATTATATGGAGTCAAAGCTACGTGACGTAACTCAATATCGTAACGATTAAAGCGTATATGTGTGTACACATAACGTAAAATAATATTATTTGCTTGCTGCGCGTCGTCCGAATTCCGCGCGCCGACGATCATTAAATTGGGAGCGCGTCACAAGTTTCCCAGAAAAGCCGACAAATATTTTCTTCTAATTGCCGCGTGACTCTCGCGGGGTCGCTTCGGAAAATTCCAGACGCGTCATCAACGCACCCCTACTAAATCATCCTCGTTAGAGACGTCGAAGCGTCGACATTCAAATCAACGCGAGCGCACTCCTACGGCTGCTGCAACTCTTCGTACCCTCTGATATTTCTTGTTTCGAAACTCGAGTCCCCGAAACGGTCGCCCCGGACGAGGCTGACAGTGAGCTCGTTCTGTCACTATTTCGACTCTCATCGTCGTCCCGCGAAGTGACAAAATGACGATTCCCCACCTCCCGCGCGACAAGCTGACCGGGTTCTCGGAGCGTATCTCGACGCTATCTGGGCGGAGTTTCCTTATCAGAATCACCGGATGACTGTCGTGTCCGACTGTCTCCGCGCTGCTGCCAGCCAACGACTGGTCGCAGCTACTGGCCGATCGTCGGCCACCGCGGTGATGCCGAGGAGAGGATCGCGATCGGAAGCTAACATCTGGCCTGTGGCGACGCTGGTAAACAGTCCGCCGACGTGCATCGCGGTGTGTAGACGTGCGTACGTAGTCGTATGTGTTAGTGAATGAAAAGAACAGAGAGAGACAGAGAGAGAGAGAGAGAGAGAGAGAGAGAGAGAGAGAGAGAGAGAAAGACAGAGAGAAAGAAAGATCAAGGGAGAAGAAGGGAGAGCACAGGTCGATCGATCGCACACACACTGCAGCACCCACGCGCGTCTCTTTATTTATTCGCGACTTCGTCATGA